TTAATTTGTTGTTCAATTATTTTGTTCAATTTATCGAATAGGACAAGTGAAATTCAATCAAAATTTTGTTGGACAATTTTTGCTAAGTTTCCCTAAAAATAATTTTGCTTTTTAGATTTCTAAATGAGAAGAACAAAAAAATAATTAAATTTCTTAGCCTAAATTTACCGAAAAAAACCTCTAGCATTTTCAAAGATAATTTTATTAAAGTAATAAAGTTGCAAATCTAAGTGATTAACTTTTATTATGTAAAATTTAAGAATTAACACTAATCTGCATATGCTCAATTAAAACAGATGATTAACAAAATTCATTCAGTGTTATGAATAATCTTATCCTAATTTATATCTTTCTTTAATGATGAATGAGATTGCCAACTTCCGAAGTAATAATAATCGGAAAATTTTTCGCCAAATTAAACATTCCGTAAAAAGAAAGAAAAAATTAACAACATTTTCAAAAGTAATAATATTCGGAAAAATTTCCGCCAAATTAAACATTCCGTAAAAAGAAGAAGTTAACAACATTTTCCGAAGTAATAATATTCGGACAACTTTCCGCCAAATTAAACATTCCGTAAAAAGAAAAGTTAATAATATATTCCGAAATAACGATCCCATGAAAATTTTTCACAAAATTAAAATAATTTACATTTTTTTTTTATAAATATAATTTAATATTATTGTCAAATATTTCCAAATGATATTGTTGAAAAGGTATGAAATAATAATACTAAAAATTTTTGTCCTTATTTGTAATAATTATGATAAAATGAATTTTTTAATAAATCTAATTAATTTTTACTAATGAATTGTTTCCAAATTAAGTTCCAATCAATCGAATATTATTTATCAAACATTTTGCGCATTGGTTGGTAATCATTTTGAGAAATGGATTATTATTACCTGCTATTTTTGTTAAAAATGTTTGATTCATTTTTGCGCCCTTTCTTATTTCCGGTCGATGAAAATTTCGCTGTAATTTTTTAACGAGAATTTTTCCATGAAATAAAACGATCGGTTGAAAATGTATTATTACATTGAAGAAAATTATAGAAATGATATTCTCTCTCGTTTTTTCTGCAAATGTCTGTTTACAAAGTGATTCCATTCAACAACAGAAAAAATACTTTTCTCCTTCAAAAATGCACTTTCTCTTTTTCTACTTTTGAAATTTGTTAATTTCATTTTGGTAATATTTAAAATTTGAATAATTATAATTATGATAATAACTGTTAATTAATTATTACAAACGTGCAATACAATAATGTATTCACTAATGCAAATTATGATTGTAATTAGATTAATAATATTTACAAGTTCTGCTTGCAAAATATGCATGCATTTTATTGGTTTATGTATTGGTTATACCTCTTTTTGAATTATTGTTAATTTCATTTTGTTAATATTTAAAATTTGAATAATTATAGTTGTGATAATAGCTGTTAATAAATTATTACAAACGTACAATATAATAAATACATTAGTGAATACACTATGTAAATTATGATTGTAATTAAAGTAATAATATTTGCAAGTTTTGCTTGCTTGCAAAATTTGCATGCATTTTATTTGTTTATTCATTCGTTTTTGAATTATTGTTAATTTCATTTTGCAAATATTCAAAATTTGATTAATTATAATTGTGATGATAACTGTTAATAAATTATTACAAATATGCAATATAATAAACAATATAATATATTCGCTAATGAAAACTATGATTGCAATTAAAGTAATAATTATTTGCAAAGTTTTGTTTACGGAATTTGCATGCATTTTATTTGTTTATTTGTTTACGTTATACCTTTTTTTTTGAGTGCTTTTTCATTTGTTTGCATTTTCTTAAAATGAATTTAAGATACTTTCAATTTTTTGCATCGTTTTCTTTTCATCTTTTAAAATTTATTTCTTACAAGATTATTTTGCATTTTTTTTACAGTTCAAAAACAAAAAACAGAGAGAGAGAGAGAGAGGGGAAGAGAAAAAAAGAAATAAATTTTTGTGGAATAAAAAAGTAGTAATTAATTTAAAATAACATTGATAACAGTGATACAATCACTGTGATACATACAATCGTTATCTCACATTCAATTCATTCAGGTATATTGTATGTATATTTAATGTTTAAAGAAAAGAAAAGTTTTCTGAAAATTTGAGCAAAAAAAAAAAAATTTCTACGACATTGTAATATTTCAACAGCAGTACAACGATCGTTTTTACCACTTTTGTAGCCATTAACAATTAACTGCCAATATAACATACACTCTTTGTTCTTTAGGTAGAAGATCATTCTTTTATATCGCTCTTTTAAACTTTTCAAAAAAAAGACATATATCGCGACAATATATATACAAATAAATTATATATATATATATATATAGAGAGAGAGAGAGACACACACGGGATGATACATATAATACCTGAAGATGTAAGAGAAATATCAGTATTGTGAAATATCTTTGGATGAATTACATTCCGTCACTCTTTCTTCATACGACGAAAAATGATAATCATCGAGAAGAGTTGTGCAACATATACACATTTTTACACTACAATATTCTTTCGATAAAAATTTTAATTTATTATAATGAAAATTTCGATTAAAATTAGCTGTGTAATAATTTTACAGATTATAATTGTTTAAATTAAATTAATTTTAAATCTTTTAATTTTAAAAAGTTTAAAAAATTTTCATTGCAATTAATTATTTCTTACTAATTAGCAATTGCATAATTTTATTGTCAAATTTAAAAGCTATTAATTAGCAATCGCATAATTTTATTGTCAAACTTTAATTTTATTTATTTATTTTTAATTGTTTATTTATTTAACAAAGTTTAACATCAAAAAGAAATAGATAATATGAAAAGTATATTTTCCCAAAAATAAAGAGAGAGAGAGAGATAGAGAAAAAGAAAGAAAGAAATTCGAAGATTATATAAACTTTCATAAGAATTCTCATATATTTATTATGGGAAATTATTTTCAATAAAAACAATTATTTTTAATTAAAAGTAAACAAAAAAAAAATTAATAATTAAGCTTGGAACAGTTGATTAATTAGTAAAAATTTTTCTTAATTACACTTTCTATTCTTCCCTCCACCCATTTTAAAAAAACCTTTCTTTGTACACAAAATCATAATTACGGCTCTTCCCTTATTACATTATACCATTGGTCTTTGTTTTTTTCATGCGACTTTTTTGCTTTCTAAACTGAACCTAAATTTGCTTCCTATACTATTTTATCATTCTTTTTTCTCTTCTTCCTCCTCCTTTTCCTTCTCTTTCTATCTTCTCTTCATGTTCTATCTTTTCTAAAAATTTAAAAATTTACTCTACTCTCACTGGTTTTTAATTGCAATCATTTTCATCATTATCATTATTATTTGCCATCACTATCAATAATTATTTATTTAACTGATGAAATGAATAGGAAAATGCTGCTACTACTATTTCTATCGTATTACAATTACTAATTTCATCATTTCATCATCATTATCATTATCATTCATTAACAACAAAGAAAAAAAAAGTTAGTAATTACAACAAACGATAACGATAACAGCAAGGCGACATCGATAACGATTACGACAAGACACGACGAATAGTGACGCCTTAAGGCTAACAGTGAAAAGTGCCACCTCCTATTCATCATTATTGCCTTTTTTTGTATGTGTATGTATGTGTGTGTGCGTGTGTGTGTGTGTCTTCAATATCAAACAAGCACACAGTTCATTTCCATCTCAACCAATCAACAACAACAACAACAACAACAACAACAACAACAACAAGCAATAAACAACAAACAATACGGCAATTGTTATTTTCGCTTATTATGCGTGTAAAAGAAACGGAATTCACATTTCCATCTCTTCTTCACTTTTTCCTTCTTACTTTTCATCATCAGGTAGGTATTATCATATTATCATTTGTACCGTTGTTGATAAGTGCAAATTTATGCAAACAATAACAATATACTTTATACTCCTGTTTCAAATAATAATAAATAATAATAATAATAATAATGATAACAATAATAATAATAAATAATAATCAATAATAATAAATGATAATAATAATAAATAATTAATAATATTTTTAAATAATAATAAAAATAATAAATAATAACAATTAATATTAATAAATAGTAATAATAACAATATTTTTTATCATTTTCTGCTATACATATAAGTTGAGAGAGGGCGGATACTATTGGAGAGATTAATATTTATAGTTTCTATTTTCTATTTCCAAAATTACTACTAATTTAGGTGTGAATATTCTAATTAAATAAATATATCATTGTAATTATCTCTTTCTCATTTCTTCAAAATAATCATCCATTGTTTTAACAAAAAAATTTTTCAACATTTTGCAATAATAATAATTTTGCTTTAATATTTTTATATTTCATTTTAATTCCCTTTTTTTCACCTTCTCAATTTTTGAAAAACGTGAAGAATTTCACGTTTATTTAATTTAAAAAGGTTATATGTGACATATCTCTAAGTTAAATTTGATTTTTGATTTTGGGATTTTGAAATTTCAACAGACATAATTATAACAAAAAAAATCTTTAAATTCAATTTTGGTTTTAAAAATTCGGCGATCATCAATTAGTATTGGAAGATGAATTTATCTCTTAATTGCATATTCTATCAAATCTATTTCAATACTACTTCTTATCACTTAAAATATTAATTAATTATTTTTTAGCATATTTAAAATTTAAAAAATTCAAAAAAAGGAACAATTACTTTTTCCCATTTTTTGTTTGCCAAAAACATTTGAAAAGAAAAATTATGCAATTTTGTAATTAAAAAAATTCTCAGACTTCATTTATCTTCTTCCTCTTTTTTCTTTCAAAATTCAATTTGGGTTTTTAAAAATTCGAAAATCAACCAATTAATATTGGGAGATTAATTTTTATGTTCTTTGAAAACATTCTGAACGCGTGTCGGAGTGCACTTTTGCAGATGAAAACGTATTTCCGGTGATGCGACGAATGCATCATATTTCCGGTGTGGAATTACTACGTGTCAAGGTGATTCTAATATCGTTCAGTTAACAAGTAACTTTTTATAGCAGCAATAATTTAGAAACTTTTACCGAACAGAATTTGATTTTGGCAAACAATTTTGTAGCACAAAATCTTTTTTTGTTGGGATGTTGAAAAATTATTGTCTGTTTGAAGTGTAGAGAAATTGTTTAGCATTTTATTACTTACTTTTAAGTTTACTTCACTCTCCAACAAATTCATTTTATTCAAAAGACTTTTTCAACCTAATTTTATTTTTCAAATTTACAAACGATCTATTCTTATCATTTCAAAATATTATCAGTATTGATTTTAATCAAGCTTTTCTCGTATCATCGATTTTCTTCCAATTCTTTCTTAATAAAAAACATTTCTCCCTCCCGATTTATTATTGTAACATTACACATGTAGTGCTTTCAAATATGACACGCGCTGTGAAAAGTTATACAAAATAAGATGATGATGATAATGTTGACCTCTGATCTGAAGATTTCAAGTGCAAAGTTAAAGCAAACGAAATGAAATTATATATTTCTTGATCGTTCCATTTGTTGTTCTTCGAACATTGAACTCATTGAATTAAATTTATTGAATCGAAAAAATTAAATTAAAAAACTTAAAATCTTATTTCCAATTTTTCTTCAATTATATTTTTATCTTTTAGAATTCAATTAGTTTGCAACTTAAGAATAACTATATCATAATTTTATTACGATTCAACGTTTATAATATTTATTATATAATTAATTATTGCTATCAAATTATAAAAGTAAACAAAAGTGGCGAATTTGAATTATGGCTTTGATTATTTATGATCATTGAATAAAACTATGATAGAATTATTTATGATTATTGAATAACTATAAAATCATTACAAACTATTGATTAATTAATTTGATTAACTATGATATATGTAAATTATTATTTATTAATTCATTTCTCCTCGGTTATTTCATCGAAATTTTCGATGGAGATATTTAATGATTAGGTATCATTCATTATTAATTGTTATATCATTGAAATAATATTATTATGAACTGTTGCATATGATGAACAGTGAAATTCCCAAATTTACAATTATGGAAATTTATAAATATTCATAAATAAACAAAGAAATTAAGAAAATTCGTTAATTCACAAATAAAGAAATTAAAAAAATTTGTATAGAAAATAATAAAATGTTGATATAATAAACAAAAGATATTATAAAAGTTGCAACAAATAAAATATATCGTAAACAAACAAATATATTCGTTTGATTAAAAAATGAAAATTATTACTTACAGTTAATAAGAACAACAACAGTACCATTTCTGTCAGCTGACGAATTACGCTATACATTTGGTGTGAACACCTTTACGGATGGTATGTTAGTTTTATTCATGATTTATTATTTATTCAAATTAATTATTATAATATTTAACATTTTACATTACATATTCCACCATCAAAAACTTTAACAGTTTCAATTACAAATTACGTATAATGTTTACTTTTATTTTTATTTTTGATTAAAGAATTATTTGGAAAATATCACGCAATCTAATAATGAAATTGCATGTATTCTGAAAATTATCACGTAAGATTACATTATTAGATTACATGATATTTTTCAGAATACATGCAATTTCATCATTAGATTACGTGATATTTTTCAGAATACATGCAATTTCATCATTTTATGAAAATGTGTTAGTAAAGAAAAAAGTGTCTGCAAACATTTTGATAATAAATAAATTATAATTGAAGGACAAACAAATGAATTATCAATTATTTCTTTAATTTTAAAACAATTCGAAAGCTTTCTTTTTTCCTTTTTCATTAACCAATAATATAACATTGAAAGCAGAAAATAATGCATTAATTGATGATTTATGGTCAACAATTAAATGCATTATTTTCGAAATTTTGTTTCACATTTTCAATTTTTTTCTAAAAGAAGTTAATAACAGTTATTTTGAAGAACTTTCATTTTTCTTTCTTTTCTCTTTCTCTCTCTTTTTTGTATTAAAATTTTAACAAATACTTTTATGCTTATTAAAATATGGCATTAAAAATTAACAAAAAACAAAAGAAGAAGAAGAAGAAGAAGACAAAGAACATTATTAACTCAATCGTTATATGAAATATTGAATGATAATTAAGAAATGATAAAAAGTAGATTTTTCATTTGTTGAATATTTGCTACATCTGAAATATTTATCACACAATTCAAATATCCATTTATTAAGGCTGTAATATTTTTGTCTGTTTTAAAGAATATCTATTTATAAAGGCTGTAATATTTGCAAAATTTATTTTAGTAAAAATTATCTGAAGGAAAAGATATTTTTGAATATTTTGCGGAAATGATACGATATTTGATATTAAAATATTGTAATACTTCGTTATTATAATTGGGAGCAGTAGAAAAAGAGAAAGAGAGAGAAGAGAGAGAGAGAGAAAGAGGGAATAAAATGAATCGAGAATGAGATCACTGATTTAATTTTTATGTCTTCATTAAATGCTAATTAATTTTGAAAAAGTATGGTAATCATCTTTCTATCATCTATACTAATATATATTTACAGTACCTCAGCATAATGAACTATATCCGGAAGCAGAATATTCCGAAGAAGGTGAATTGAAATTAATTCGCTTGACAATTCGCGAAAAGCAAATAAATTTGACATTAGAGCCATCCATTCAATTACTTGTATCACCGTATCTAAAGACAGTTTTTCGGAATGCACATGGTGGTGGAAAGTTGGATGTTGGACAAGTACCAAAAAGCTGCCATTATCATCACAAATCAGAAGAAGTGTATGCAGCTGTCAGTAATTGTGATGGGAATCTTGTCAGTGATTATTATACTTTGCATATATTACTTACATACACTAAAATCATTTTCGGCTACCAATTTATCTAATGTTTATTTTACGACAACAAATAATTACTGTAAAACATGAAATTTTTTTTTGATTTCAATTAACGATACTTTAATTAATTCCTAATTACCCAAATGAATGGAAGATAATGAAAAGGAAATATGAATAAGTTAAACAACAAAAATAAAACTTAAGCTAGCGATGTTTGTGAAAAATTGTGCTAATATGAGATTGGAATCATATAGCAGAAGATACGATAATGATTAGGAGGATATAGATAAGATAACGATTAAGAGAGTATAGATAATGGTCAAAAAAATTCTCTGGAAATGTTGAAAAATAATAGATCTGGTTATTTTTGTATTCTTTTCCTGACAAAAAATTTTCTACAACCTCATCAGTTCCTATCTTGCAAAGTTTTTGATAGATACATGATATACAAAAATGGATTAATTAGGTAAAAACATTAAGCGAAATTATAAATTAAGAATTAGCAGAGAATCAAACTTTACTTAATAGGAACTAATTTTATTTTGGCGAGAATAATTTTAAGCTATCAGAAACGAATTGTAAATAAGTCCATAAATTTTTTTGATTAGAATAAATAAACAGATATGTAAAGTTTTTTTCTTCTAATTAAAACAATAGACGAAAATTTCTTTGAAATTTTTTCTAATATCTTCAAAATAAACATTCAATTCAAATATTGTGGTAATTTAAAAGATTATATTATTGTAAAAATATTAAAGAGATATTTTTTTCAGAAAGGTATAATTGTTATGCCAAATGAGGTTTACGTGTTGCATCCGTTACCCGATCGTCATGTTTATCGATTTGATCAGAATAATCGAAATGGTATTTGTTGTAAATTTTTGCATTGAAGACTATTTCATTAAATATTTAAATTATTTGGAATTTTATATAATTCAAAGATAATTCGAGAAAATATTAATGACAATGATATGATAAGGATATATAGTTCGATATAGCTTTGAAATTATTTCAAATTTTATTTAATGCTAGAAAATATTAATGAAAATGATAAGATAAGGATATATGTAGTTCAATATATAGTTAGCTTATTAAGAAATACAAATTAAATGTAACCTCATTATTTTCTTTAAAATATTAAACCGTAGAAAATAAAAAATTTAGATACTGCTCCTGGATTACATGTAATTTACAAACGTGAATTAGCGCAAAAAGAATTTTGTGGTCTCGAATCGACAATTTCATCAATTGAACTTAATCAAGATGAAAATGAAGTAAATGAAGATGTTGTTACAGTTGGACAGCGTCTCAATGAAGAAGGCAAACTCACTGTTAGCAAATATTGTTTATTTAAAGAAAAAGAAAACAATGAAATAAATTATTTTAACAATATCTAAATAATATCTATATATGTTGTTAGGTTAATAACTCATTACATATAACATTCAAATTTCATAAAATTTAATATGAATATTAATTGGCATACCGAAAAGAATTATACAGCATTACATACTTATTTGATTGCCATTAAAATAATCGTATTTTTTTTCAATTTTTTTTAATATTAAATTTTGTTTGCTTGTTGACAGCTTTTTTGCATATTTTAGATATTCTTTAAGTGGAAAAAAAAGGAGGAATATCTTTGATTGTCAAATAATTCAAAAAGTAAAGTAAAGGATTGATAGAGTAAAGGAGTAAAGGATTGATAAGTATGAAAAGATTGATAAGCATGAAAGGCAAAGTGAAGGATTGATAATTATGAATTAATAAATGAATGACTTCGAAATGTTAATTCAAAATTTTAATATTTTTAAAAATGAATATAAAATTTAATTGATTATATTTATTTCATAGTTGTAAATTTTTAATGAATAAATTAACAATAACGAAAAGAGAAATGAAAAGATATCATTAATTAAATTATTTTGCTATTAATTACTAATTTCTCTATATCTCTCATTACATTTAAAATATTTAATTGTTGCTCTTTTTTTTTGCAATAAAGATAAAACAATTATTGTTATCAATTGATAATAGCCATTACTAATGCTAGTGATAAAATTACTTTTTCATTATATTTCTTGTTAATGGAAATATTTCATAAAAATATTTGTCAACTAATATTGTTGATGTATTTTCATTATTTTGTAATCAGAAAATTAACAACAGTTTTCCATCGATAATTCTTAACAATTAAATTCAATTAATAGAATGATAGTGAAAAACTCTTAATGCCAATTTAAAATGATTCATAAGTGCAATAATTTTGAAACGAAAAACTGGAATGTTTTGAATAAGTTCAATATCGCATAAATAATCTAAGTGTAATAATTTTTGAAAGGAAAAAGAAACTGGAATACTTAAGAGGTTCAATGTCGCATAAATATTTTTGCATCAATGATATTGGAATTATTAATAAAATGAAAAAATGAAACTTCCATTTAATTATTAAAAATTTATAGTTAAAATATTTGAATGAAAAAATATTTGCCAATAGCAAATTATATTTTTAATTAATTATAAATTTTAATACTTATGTTGCAAAAAACAAATTCGTTGAAAAATTATTTAAAAAAAGAAACATGCGATATAAATTATAGTATACTATTAGTCAATTCAATAAATTTGGCGTTAATGGAATTTGTAATTGTCAGTTTTGAATTGATGTAAAAATATGTAAAAGTGCAAATTATAAAATTTCAATCGAATAGAAATGAAATTTTATGCAATCAGTATTTGCTTCACTTTTTTTCTTTACAACCTTAATAGGTTGGTACCATATCTCGAAAGAAAAAATTCTGCAAAAAGAAAAGGGTTGGTACCATATTTTGAAAGGAGAAAAATTCTGCAAGAAGAAAAGAAAAATTTTTTGAAATTAAATGCTGCAAAGTTCGAACATTGAATTTACAAAAATTTTTTTGCAAATGAATGAATAATTCTTTTGAGAGTACCATATCATATCAATCATAACTTTTGGAAAATATTTATTACTTTGATAAGTGATTAATATGAAATGGTACTTTCAAAAGAATTATTTCATTCATACTTTGATATAATTCAAGTTTAATTTTCAAATAAAATTAGCGATAATTTCTGTTGCTATTTTCTATTTAATTAACACATTTAAAACCATAATCTCAAGTTTATTTTTTTAGGTGGAATTAGCGATATTTGTGGATGAATTATTATGGAAACATTTTAATAGTAAATATGGTATCGATGCAAAAACTAAACTACAGGATTATGCGTTAACAATGCTTAATAATATACAAATTATGTATCATCAACCGAGTGCCATTCCACAACTATCATTTCATGTTGTACGATTCGAAGTGCTTACCGCTCAACCGGTATCAATTTTATCTTCTCATACTTTTTCCAAACTTTTCCACATTTCCTTTATTTGTATGGAATTATTGATTGTAACTGTAATTTTTAAATTCCAGAAATTAGCATTATCGATTGATATTGATCGAAAATTTATAAAAAAAATGATTGAAAAGCTAGATAAAATAAGCCGAAAACTAAAAACAGTTCAAAATATTAATTAATTTTGATTCTTAAAATGTAAGAAAAGTTTTTCCTTGCAAAAGAGATCAGAGAAAGAGAAAAGATTGCTGCTAATTTTAGTTGATGAATTTTAGAATAATTTCTTTGTCTTTAACAAAAACGGTTGAGTGCAATAGTAGAAAGGATGACAAATAATAATTGAGAAGTTGCTAATTTAGAAGTTAATTAGTTTGAAATTAATTAGTTAATTATTATTGGAAAGAAAATTTGACGTAGTTTGTAATTGCAAAATAATGGGAAAGAAAGAAAAATAAACCATTGACCGATCATATCAGGCTAATTTCATACTCTGGCAAATAAGTTAAAAATATATTATTAGTGATTAGTAATTAATTCAATGTAAAGTATTATGCTAATTTAGTTCCCGGATCTTCAAATATTACGAAGAGCATTTAATTTTAATTGATAAAATTTGATTAACTTAAAAATTAAATATGAATAAATTTTAGAGTGCTATGGCAGCCCATTTGCATGATAATGGACATGCGCAAAAATACTTGGATCGATTTTGTAAATATCAACGAAGTTTAGGGTCACGTGATTGGGATCACGCATTAATGCTTACAGGGTTCATCTTTAATATTACATGCTTAATCATTGCTTTCTTTTTAATAATATTCTTAAGTACTGTAACGTAAGTAAAAGTGTAAATGAAATTTAATTAAATGATATAATTTAAATGAATTTAATTAAATGATATATGTGAAAATATAATTTCACAAATTAAAATAACTGATATAAATTTTAATTAATTGAATCATATCAAATTATATAGAGTATTATCAAATTATTATTATTTTTTCAATGTAATCGATTGATTGGTTGGGATTGTAAATGAAATTTGAATTTAAATATCGAAATATATATTTTGCTTTATTTTATTTTTAGATATGATATTCATCGTGGTACCGGATCACGATCTATAAGTGGTATTGCTCGATTGGATGGTATGTGTGATCCATGGAATACTTGCACATTAGCTGAAGGACTTGATTTTACATCAGCTTTTATTGGTACTCATGAGCTTGGCCATAGGTAAGCTTGTTTTGTAAAATTATTATTTTTTTATTAATTGAATGTTTAATGATATTAATTAATAGTGAAAGAAATTTTTGGCTAAATGTTGTTTGTTTTTGCAGCGTTGGAATGCGTCATGATGAGCCGTATTGTCCAGCAAAGCATATCATGAGTTCATCATTAGGTCCAGGAAAAGTAACTTGGTCAATTTGTAGTTTACGCGACTATCATACATTCTTACAACGTCTCGAGTAGGTACCATTATACATTTATTTCTATAAATACAACTCTTACAGCTTATCTTTGATATTTTATAATACTAATTAATTATTTTTAATTTAAATTTTGACAACTTTTTTATTTTTTAAATTCGATAATTTTTTTTAAATTTTGATGATTTTTAGTAGTCGTGGTAAGAATTGCCTACGAGTGTCAAATCTACCACAGAAACTAACAATGCGAACAGATTTGAAACCAGGACAAGTTTATAGTGCTGATACACAATGCTATATAATGCATGGTCAAGGATATCGACAGGTACGTATATCAGTATCATATCACTGATGAACATTTTTGCTAATCTTCTAATATATGATTATATGATCACTAAAATACAATAATTATATATACTACTAATTTATTATTATAATTATAATTAAGATAATTTCAGTCATCTTAAGCAGTAATATTTTATGACAGTACATCGGCCAATCATTTCCTTTTTTTATTTGGTACCATTTTTCTTTCAGATAAATCATAAGACGTCTAAGTATTAGTTTATTATATACCTGTACAATTTAGCAACAAACTCATATAACTGATAAGCTGAATTTAATTTAATTCCATTTCTGATTAAAATAATTTTAAAATGCATTTCAATGAATTAATTAATCAAATCATTGCTCTATCACTCATTGTTTTTTTCAATTGCTATAAAAAATAATCTTATTTTATCATCAAAATTTTTGCAATAAATCAAATTATTTTTTAATTTCATTTTTTTGTAATTAACAAAACGAACGAAAATTAATCATTGAACAATCATTTTTTATTATTTTCTGTCAGTATCATTTAATTCGCAATCATTCGCAATCAATCTAAAAATTCGCAATCAATTGCAAAGATTGCGATCTTTTTGATAATGCAAATGATAGTATCAGAAAAATATTTTGCTGTAAGCAAACTTTCATTCATTATTTCTAATTTAACTGATCTCGCATTCCAAATTTTCTTTTTGCAAGTTTTTACAACTCTCTGATAAAGTTTAGAGAAGAAGAAAATGACAGCGTTGAAATTAGAATAACTAAAAAGTATTTATTTAAATTATTTTCTATACCTTTTTTTTGTACCAAATTTATCCCTCAAAATTATTGTAAATCAAAGATCGCCTGATATTATATATTATGCTTATCTTCTTTATCTAAGTTGTTGATTTAATTTTTCCCCTTAGAAAAATTTCGCTTCTTTTAGTCAAATTTTATATTGACGAATTTAAATGACTGATTGAAGGAAAAGAACATTCAGAAAATATTAAATTAAGTTATTAAAAATGTTAGTGTTACCAATGTTTGATTATAACTTTAACTAAGTTCGATTCTTTTTTGAGGAATAACTTTTATGTTGGAGATTATTTAAAATTAAAATTTCAAGAAAAAATCAATTAAAAATATTTTTTCTACAGATGTGCAAGAGTTAAGGCAATGATAACATTTCGACAATTTCAAGAAATATAACCTATTCGATCGATTTTAATTTACTTTAAATTCCTTATTCCTTAAAATGATGATAGTAAACTCTTTTGTTCCATGCATTTTAAATACACGTAAAAGTGACGTAAAAGTTGCACGTACGTGAATAAATTTCGCAAGAAATAATAAATATTAAATGTTTGCATTAAAAGAATTTTATGAAGTGTTTTTTTTTAGGATGTGAGAAAATTGAAATTTGTAAAAATTTAAATTTACGACAAAAGCAAGAAAATTGTTGAATACTGCTCGTTTGATCTGTTTGTTAAAAAATTTTTATTAATAAGAAATTAAGGTTTTTTAAAAACAATAGTAATTAATTTGAAATAAAATTTTTGGCACTCAAATTTTACAAAATATATTTTGTGATAAAAATTGGAAAATTTTCAGATCACTCCACGACAAGATCATTATGATGGTATATGTTATATGATGTGGTGTGGACAGTCATCATTTGGTCGAATAATTACCTCTCATCCAGCACTTGAAGGAACATTTTGTGCTTCATCAAAATGGTGTGAACTTGGCCGATGTGTACCATGGCCTGGTCATGGTCCACCTAGTATACCTAAGGTTAATTATAACTCTATTACTAGAATTTAATTTTCATACTTCATTTAAATTCATAATTCATTTGATTTATAATTCATTTAATTTATTTTTTTGATTTAATTTTTTAAAAAATAGAATTTAATTTTATTTACAACCTTATGCTTTAAATATAATAATGAGCTCAATTAATTATGGATCAAAACAAAAATGAATTCAGCTTACGTTAAAATTTTTAAAACTTTATCCCCAATATGTATTCATCATTTTAATAATATTTTCTTATTTACAGCGTGTCGATGGAAAATGGTCTAATTGGTCTGAAGTTTCATGTCAATCGTGCAAATGCGCTGATATAACTGGTAGCATAGGTATTGCAACAAGTTCTCGAAGTTGCAACAATCCACCACCTATAAATGGTGGTGCAGAATGTGTGGGTGCAGCATTGCGTGCAGTTGTATGCAATCGTCAATGCACATCATCTACTAAATCAATCGAGAAAGTAAAAAATTTTCTTTTTCATAATAATTAAAATTAATAAAATAAAATTTGCAAAGAATAGAATTGATGAAATGATGGAAAAAGATTTTAAAAAATTATAAATTTTATTTCTTTCAAATCTGAATTTTAAATTTTACTTTAATTAAAACAACAAAAGAAAAAGGTTAAAATGCTAATTGTTTTAATCTTATTTCAAAATAATTTCTTACATTTAAAATTTCTTTTATTAAATTGAAAATTTCATTAAGTTAATTATTTTGATATTTGTTATTTTGCAGCATATTAAGGAACATTTATTTCATTTAAAATTTCTTTTATTAAATTGATAATTAATTTATTCAAGTTTTTTATTTTAAGTTAAGTTTATTAATATATTTTAAGTTTATTAAGTTTTGTAATTAATAATAATAGTTAAGTTTATTTTAAGCTAAGTTTATTAAGTTTATTATTTTAATATATTTGTTATTTTGCAGATTATTAAAGAACATTTATTTCATTTTAAAATAATTGCTTACATTTGAAATTTCTTTCATTAAATTGATAATTAATTTCAAGCTAATTATTTTATGATATTTGTTTTCTTGCAGCATATTGAATAAAATTCATCTCATTTTAAAACAATTACTTACATTTAAAATTTCTTTCATTAAATTGATAATTAATTTCATTAAGTTTATTATTTTGATATTTGCTATTTGCAGCATATTAAAGAAAATTCACTTCATTGTAAAATAATTTCGTATATTTAAAATTTCTTTTACCATATTGATAATCAATTTCATTAAGTTAATTAATTAATTAATTAATGATATTTGTTTTCTTTGCAGCATATTAAAGAACATTTATTTCATTGTAAAATAATTTCTTACATTAAAAATTTCTTTTACTGAATTGATAATTAATTTTTCATTAAGTTAATTAATTAATTAATGATATTTGTTTTCTTGCAGCATATTAAAGAACATTGCACGCAACAGAAAAAGCTTAAAAATGATTCAGATTTAACTGGAAATGGAACACAATTAACTCGTTATCCTCAACGTGCATGCAAGGTTTCCATTCTATGCAACTTAAATATTTTAAACGCCTAATTTTTGCTTCGAAAAGGATCACAAAAAGGTTTTTTTTGTTCCAAACAAAACCGATTTAGAAATTAGTAAAATGATTAAGAATAAACAAACAGTTATTATGGACAAATTTCTATTACAAGCAATTAAAATTAATTAATTAAAATCTTTTGTTTTTTATCATTAGATTTAATAATTTGCTTACTTGATAAAGAATAAATAAACAAATATTATGCAAATTTTTATTACTAACAATTGAAATTAATTAATTAAATTATCTTTTGTTTTTTTTTTCATTAGATTTAATAATTTGCTTATTTGATAGAAATATTATATATATTTTTATTGCTGGCAATTAAAATAAATTAATTGAAATCTTTTGTCTTTTTCATTAGATTTAATAATTTGCTTACTTGATAAAATTAATTTCAATATAAGACAGAAGATTCTTTTTAGGAATAACATATGAAAGATTTAGTGAACAGTGAGTTCTTTCTTTTTAGGTCAATAATTTTTAAACAAATGATCAGAAGTGATAAGATAAAATTATCAGATTTATATTCAATACCAAAATTACAGTAAATAAAATTTGAAACAATTTTGCAATCAAGTTTAGATCTTTTGTGATGTGATAAATCGTTTTGGATCACAACGAAATTACCGCTTTTTTGGTAATATTCTTCCAGATGGTGCACCATGTGGTACCAATAGATATTGTTTGGATGGCGAATGTCTTGTTAGTTGTTTTCGAATTATTCAAAACAATTTATTATTGTTGTAGATAAAAATGAGATAATGGATCATTGATTGTTTACTTTGGCTGAGATATATTGAGAGCATGCTGATAAGATGTATTTTATTTTTAGCGATTATCTTGTGATAATAGTGCATTAATTACGCATGATATATCATGTCCAAGTATCAATGAACGATGCCCACAGAGAACTTTAGCAATAACTAGTGCAGTAACACCTACTGCTGCAGTAATATCTACTACTGCACCTAAATGGTCACCCTGGTCAACATGGTCATTCTGCTCACAAACATGCGGTATCGGCTATAGACAGCGGTAATTTTACTAATGAAAATTTATTTCATTATAAATTCAATCCAATATATTCATTTATGTACATTTAATTTAAAATGAAACTTTCATATAAATTTAATAATTTTTTAAGATTTAAATTTATTAAATTCATTATATTAAAATATCAATTATATTTAATAGTAAATATACAAGAAATGAATACATTATTGATGATTTCATTTTTGTGGATAAATTATCAACACAAGAAATAGAGCCATTACACTAAAACATTTCACAAACTCTTTTTATCAATGCTCAATTTTCTGAGATATCTGTTAAACTCAAAAAGTTGCTTGAGTTATAAAATAGTATTGATTATTTGAAGTTTCATAGATCTCTCGGATCAATTTCTGAGGTGATCGCTAATGTTCATTGTTGTAAAAATAAATTAATATAAAAATTCAACATATGATATAAAGTAATGAAATTTCCAAAATTATGATGATTTCAGTAGTTTAAATTATTTCGGATATAACGTATCAGATTTCGATTATAGGGTTCGATCATGCAGTGATGGAAAAAATCAATGCTCAGGTGGATCAACTGAGAAAATTCAATGCAATTTATCAGCTTGTAGTAGCGGTAAAACATCGGAACAGCAAGATAACTGGAGTGAATGGACTTCTTGGAATCAATGTTCCGTTACATGTGGTATCGGATCGCAAGCACGATATCGACGATGCCTTAGTTCATCGCAAAATTCACTTTCATTTTCATGTCCAGGTATAAATTTTTTTTTCATTAAATGCTTAGGATATTTAAATTTTGCATCAAAAAAATTAACCTATCATAAAAGGTCAATTAATGCTGAGAATAAATGAGATACCCATTGATAATTAGCTAAAAGTTGCATTAATTGATAAATTAATTTAGAGAATTCGATGGAAACACGACAATGTAATATGGGTGCATGTAGTACGGGTACAGTTGGTTTATGGGGTAGTTGGACGGAATGGTCACAATGCTCTGTTAGCTGTGGACCTGGAATACGAAGTCGAAATCGTTACTGTACCGTAGTAAGTCTTTAATATCAAAAATTAGGATTGGGTTAGTTAATTTGCATAAAAATCCAACTAATTAATTACACTGTTAGATGTTTTTGTTTTATTTGAATTTTGAAAGTTAAGAAATAAAAAGAAAATCTATATTTACTATTTTACAACAACAGGAACCATGCGATGGTTCAGGACAATCAAGAATGTCATGTAATTTGAGTCCATGTGAAATTAGTGTCCGATGGATGCAATGGGAAGCATGGTCACAATGTACTTTAACCTGTGGAAAAGGTCTACGTACCAGAAAGAGGTAATAGTAATTGTTAATTGCAGATTGATCGTATATTACACAATAATCATTTTGTGCTTATTTACCACATTAAAAAAAAGTTGATTTATAAAATAATATAATTTCAATAATTTTAATTAACTAATTTACAAAATTGATTTTAAGTTTTCGCTTCATTGCTAATTTTAAATGACTAGCTGCCATTTATTTATTTATTGATTTTTTTTTCAGAAAATGTTCCGCTACAAATGGTTGTTTTGGTAATAATCTAGAGCAGAAGAATTGTAGTGAAAATCCATGTCCAATAACAACAATAATTGGTCAATGGTCCGGGTGGTCTGAATGGAGTAGTTGTAGTACAACATGTGGTGGTGGTTTTAAAAGACGTACTCGCTTTTGTCAACATGGGAACTGTAATGGTTCATCTAAAGATTCATTACCATGCATGATGAAATATTGCAAAACATTTTCATCCGAAACTACTGCTTCTTGGGGCGGTAAGCGTTCTTCTTCCACTGATACTATTATTATAGCTGATAAAATATCCCGAAATAAAGCATTTCCGACTCAAAGATCCATTCTAAATACAACACCTAATAATTATCATTTCAATTCAACCAATAGAGCTGTAACAAAATTTGCAAAACGAAATTTTCGCCGTTTTTGGCTATTCAATAATGGTTCATTATCGAGAACTGCCAAATATGATCCCATACTTTTGAAAAATTTTTTGTAAAATTTATATTTTAAATTAATTAATAAAGCTATTTGTTTTTTTCTAATTTCTTCTTTTTCCTTAAACTTTTTCCAAATTCTTTAGAAAACTTTAATTTCTTTTTCTCTTTTCTTCTGGCTTTATTTACTACTATATTTCATAATAAACGATAATTTAGTTTGGCATGTTTTGCTTACTTTCAATTCTTATATTTAAAAGGAAAAAGTAATGAAAAAGGTTAAGTTAATTTCAAATTATATCTCTCCGATCATTTATCATTATCTAATGAATAGAATATATGATAACATCATCATATGGGGAAGAAATATGATAGATTTCCATTAATGTGATCGGCTAGTTTAGCATATCAAAAATTTATATTTCACTTAGTAGGATTAAAATAAAGCAAAGGAAGAGTTAATTTTGAAAAATTTTCATTTAGATATGAATAATTGGACAATACCACATTATGCTAATTATGCTAATTAAAAAAAATGCTTATTTTAATATCTTTTAAGTTGATATGAATGGATTTCACTGCTATTCTCTTTTAACAAAATCGAAATTGAAGAATTAGATGAAAATAAGTAATATCAATACTGGTAGCAATAATTTCTTTTAATGCTTAAGAGAGAAACAATAATAATGATATAAATAATAAATGTATTATTTAGTAAAAATTAAATTTATATATTTCTAAATTATCCCAATGTATCATTTTTTTTACTTAATTATTATTAATAGTATAAAAATTTTAGTTCAGTAAAAATATTTATCAGAATATTTATATAAGATGATAAATTCATTTATCTAAATTTTAGCAATCTTATAGAGTAAGTGATTAATGTTTCAAAAATTGTAAAATCTAAGATATCGAAATTAGAATCTAACTTAAATTCAATAAAACAGACAAATAAGAGCTTTTAGGGTGGGGTTATTGGTCACCATGTTCTGAAACATGTGGTAGAGGTGTACGAAAACGGGTGCGCAAATGTTATGGCGGAAATGAACAATGTTCTGGAAATGAATATGAACGAGAAATGTGCAATGTACAACATTGCTAAAGATAAAATTAAATGCATGATATCCTGATTATAATTAATTTTATTAAACAATAAGAGCATGTCGCTTATTTTAGCATCCTATGCATGCGCATTTATTTAATTTATTTATTATAATAGTAATAATAATAATAATTTTTTCTCTCTCAAATTAATTGCTTAAATTTTAGAAAGTAAAATTTTGATAGGTTATAAATTATTTTCTAGTATAAAAAAAGATCACATTCTAAAGCAGTAATAATATTTAAAATATTTTTGTGAATAATTAAAAGAGCTTATTAAAACATATCAGAAAGTGATTAACCTTTTTTTATCAATTCTTTTACAATCGATCATTTTTAAACTTATCAGAAGATGATTAAATTCCTTTTTATCAATTTAAAATTATTTCTTCGATTTCTTTATCAATTTTGAAATTTTAAAACAAAACAAAATAAAACAAAAAACACAAAAAGAAATTCATACTTTCTGAATGTTTATTATTTGCTAAGTAAATTACCTTCTTGCATGTAATATTTTTATTTCTTCATTTTTGCAGTAAAAACTTTAAAGGTACCACGCCAGTTATTCTATTAAAACTCTAATGGTACCACTCCAGCTATTCTATTAAAACTTTAATGGTACCACGCCAGCTATTCTTTCCTTTTCCAACCTAACTTTTTTTCCTTTCCTGAGGCTGCGAATTATATATTCGCTATAATTTCTTCTTTTTTTAACCATATATATAATAAATTTGTTTATCTGTTATTGATTACTGCGATCGTTTGTATTCTTGCGATGTTGCATTATTTCGCAAATTTTGTAGCAATGAATTTTTTATTTTATTAAAATTATCCATTTCAAATTGAATTCACAAAATTTTATTTAATTTCAGTATTATTCGAATTATAATTAATTAATTTTTTTGAACTGTTTTTTCTTTCTTTTATCTATGCAAAAAAATTTATTTTATCATACCTTATTTAAGATTTATTAGGTAAAAGTGATAGTTAAATTAATTTCATAAAACAATAAAATAAAAAATTCATATTCTTGTAATATTTGAAATTTTGTCCTATTTATAAATAGTATTATTACATCGATCTCCTTCATTTTTGTAGCAGCAATCAATAATAAGCGGTTAATAATAACTATAATTTATAATATTGGTCGCAATTAATTCTAATAATAATAATGATAATAATGAGAATAATGTGATAATAGTGATATGATAATTGCAGCAATGATAATAATAATAAAACTGCAACAACTAATAATTGATATTATGATCTTTCATTCATCTTTAACACTTCATCATATAAAATCATTCATTCGAATATTTAAAAGCAAAAAGAAAATGCAAATCTTTTTATCATTTAATTTTAATTAATTATTTCGTATTTAAAATATATTAATTTGATTAATTTGTGTATCATTTACCTAAAGATTATCTCAAAATTTCTTCTCTAATTTCTTTTTAAATACATTTTTTGTTAGCAAAATTCCTTTCTTTTGTTTTTAAATTTTTAAATCATAAATTAATTAATAAAATGAAAAAGTCGGAGTAAAATTAATTTAAATTATTTCTTCATTCGCAAAATAAGACAATAATATATTTTTCATAGTAAAATAATGAAATTTTATTTTGCAATTGAATAATTCATAACAATTCTATTTGACTTTATTTCTATTTGACTTTATCGAATATTTTTTTGCATCGAATTTATTTAAAATAATAATAATTATAACAGTAATAATGATAATAATAATGGCAATAATAATAATGACAATAATAATGGTAATAATAATGATAATAATAATAATAATGATAATAATAATAATAAATTGTTAGAATGAAAAATAAAGTGAATTATTCAATTGTTAAATTTCTTATTGAAAAACTGAAATATTATAATTTGTAATTTTAATTTAATTTTTTAAATATTGCTTAAATTAAAATGACATATGTGTATATGCATAAGAATGCATAAGAATTGATCGATGAATTCAAAAAAGCTTTTAATTACTGATATCATCATTACTTTTTCTTTTCCTTTTTCTCTTTTGCATACTTATCATTACTGCCATTTTCAATCATAAATCTGTTACTGCCATTAGCTGTAATTATCAGTTTCTATTTTTTTGTATTACTGATAATTATCACTGATAAATGCTTATTTGTTTTTTTTTCTCTATTCATTATGCTTTTTTCTCATTTCATTTTGCTATCTTTTTCTTTTCCCAATCATTTTGTTAATTTACAACGTTTGTTATTATGCATACAACTGACTATTATGCATATCACTGATTATTGTATTATGCATATCACTGATTATTTCAAGTATGAATTATTTGAAAATAAACTTTTAATCAAATGAAATTGTTTTGGCAAATAAACTCTTGATTAAAATACTACAGAGATATTTCATGTAATATTCCTATCGCTTAATGAATAAAATATTTGACTAAAAAAAATTAATATGAACAATATATTTTAATTTAAACAATTGATAAGAATACCGATGAAATGATATGTTCTTAATTGATTGTAATTATAAGTAATGGAATATTTAATTCATCGCGATAGCATTATCAGTAATAAACAAATACAAATCAGTAATTAATTACAAGTGATCAAAATTGGAAATCTAGAAGGATTCGAAATTACAGAAAATTTTTTAAATCATAAAAGTTGCAAAATGAGTTAAATAATTCAGAAATTCAAAATTACATTTGCAAAGGAATTTATTAGGCTAATAACGAAAAAAGCCTAAAGTTATGATATTATTACTTATCTGTTTGTGTTGTGTGAAGTGAAGAAATCACAATAAAATTCTATTAAAATATCTTATAGATTTTTGCAGCACTTTTTATGATAAATATAATTTATAAGAGATTGAAAAAAATTGTCATAAAAAATTATAGTGATAATAATAATAAATATTATTATCATTATGGTTATTAGTTTTCAATGAATTCATAAGTGTGACAATATTTCTGTTGTAAATTTAAAATGATACTATTTCCATTATTATTATCACTATTGTTATTGATATTACAATTAATTATTATGCAAAAAATGCAAATGAATGCAAAACAGACGGATACTACAAATAAATGAAAGATAATGCTGGCAATTATGATAATGAACTTTGACAAAAATTATGCTCTTTTCTTTTTATCCATCGTCGCTGCAATTTTTGGTATTAGCTAAGAAAGATAATATTATCTCTGAAATCACTGAACAAATTCGGTAGGAATATCTTGGCGTTGTTTCATTTGTGACAGACTTTGATCATCTCAATATATTTATGAATCAAATTTTCTTCAGTGAAATTTATTTCTCTTATTGAAGACGTGCCTTTAAAAACGCACAAAAATTGCATCGATGGTGACATACTTTTAAATTGTTTATTCCATTAATTTAATCAATTAACAGTAATAGCTAAACTTCATCGGTTTCCGTTAAAAACAAATTCAGTGAGTACAATTTGAATTAAATTATCGGTGCGAAATTAATATTAGAGCCACGTGGTTTCAACATTATGCAATATTGATGGAAGAATGGTATTCCAAGCACGATTATATTTGGATCAATATCACTATATCTTTCGATTAGATTTTCAGACGCATATAAATAGTAAAATATTCGTTCATTCTTTCTGAACGCAAGTTCGCATAACATATCGTCCGGCTGCAACATTAATTTTTACGATATTCTTTCCGGATAATATCGATGAGAGAGGAGTTTTTTTTATCATTTGAAAGTGTTAAATTAAAGAATAGACAAGAACGATAACTACTGGTGCTGTAATAAAATTCAAATAACATATGGCTATCATTATGAGCAGAATATTTTTAAGTATAACGCAAATATGAAATGAGCCTAGTGCTTTTGTCTTTTCCATTTTCTATTAGGATATTTTATTAGATTAGAGAAGTATAGGAACATACATTATGTTTGATTATGAAATGTTGTGGCGGAATGACGTAAGTGTTACTATCGGTGGATATCTCGAATGGCTCGTATGTGTTATGAGCGACCGATCCCTTACATTGTACCATATATTTGTTCTCTGATGAATCAAACTGAAATATTTTCATTTTAAAGAAACAACAAAATGTAACATTTATGATATAAACCGAAATCAGAACCTGTAAAATTATGTAGTAATACCGTTGCATTGAGATTGGTAATGATTTTGCTCAGGAAATCATCCGGAACACTGATAAATGGCTCAATAGTGCTCAGATAAGCAAATGATACAATAGAAGACATCACATCGCCCATTTTGATGGAGTTATATTTGAATTCGTAATGATTTCCAGATTGATTTGACGCTATGAGATGAGAAGGAGAAGGAGCCACTTGACGTTCTTGTCCAGTGTTTTCATTAATCAAACGAAGCGGTTCAACGGTTTCATAATTCAAATCGCATGATTGGTTATTACGTCCACCCAGCGTTAATATCGCTGTTTTATTTGAATCCTACATTTTCAATGTTATTCTGTTCGATCATAATTTACAGTGACATTAAGAAAAGTTCAAAAGAAGTTGGAAAAAATGATATCACGCGTTAATTGCAAATTCGTGGGAAATTTAGCCAATGATAAGTCGGAAAATGACAATAATTTCTCATCAGATAAGTAATGAATTAGTCGCGCTATCCACCCAAATTGCTTAAATATAATGAAAATAGTTGTCTTTCCGTTCCGCAGATATTATGCTAATAAAATGAGAAAATGAAGCGTTTCTTTACCAATGGTGGCAATGCAACGGTAATAACTAGATACGATTGATTATTCCGGGAAGAATCGCCGGAATTCCCATATGGAACGCCAATACCAAATAAACCATCGATTCGTTGATAATCTTCGCGTTTAGGCCATATGATAATCTTTACTTTACAGAATGGAAAATCTGTGAAATCTAAGCATGTTCCATCTAATAAATTAAGCTGAAAAAATAATTTGTCTAAATTTTAGTTGGTATTACGAAAATAATATTTTTTGAATGGAATTATTTGAAAGTGTTATTGTTATTACCAGGTGAATTAGGCAAAACACTTTCGTTATAATCTTTGACCTTTAATGAAGTGAAATTAATTGAGTAATATCAATTTTAATATAACTGTTATCCATAAGTTAGGTGGAAACAATCGGAAAAACAAAAGCAGAAAAACAAAAGAATACCGAAATCTTATCCCATTCGGTGTACAATGCAACTGATCTGGAACCGTAAGCTTCCACCAACAAAAGTGGATTTTCTTTCTTAAAGGTTTCTGATTGCAAGAATGAGTAAGCTTGCTTGTTTTCCGGAAGTATCTCTCTGTAATTTGACGAAAACAATATGAGATTCTTTTAATAAATGAAATTATTGAACTTTTTCAGACTCAATATTTTAAAATTTCATCTTACTCTGTTTTTACAACAAAATTTGAAATATTTTCCTGAAATCATAACATATTTTTAGATGTATGAATGGTGAAAAAAGCATCAATGCTAAACATACGTATATTTAGAAGGATAAATCCAAATAATGGTGGTAGCAATATCCAAAAGTAGAGCTAACTCCTCTTTCGACTCACCGATTATCACCTTTGCAGTATATCCGGTATGTTGCTAAAAGATATTATCAAGCATGTGAACAGTGAAATTTACCTCAATTAATTTAATCCTTATTGACAGAAAAGTGATACAAATAATTAACGTACGTTTGATTTACCATAAACGGGATGTAATTCAACTTCATGCTCAACAAATATCGGTGCCGCTTGAAGACAATAAAAGATAATTGCCAAATTGATTAGCGTATCTCTCATCTTTCCGTCTGGAATTGAATTGAAAAGATCGAAGGACAAAAATGCACGATCATTATCCATTCAACACATTATATGTATGGTAGCATTCCTGTGGACATATTACTTGGCATATAATATCATTGTTGATTCTTATCGAACTGAGTGTCTTTTAAAGAATCCTTATAATGATAATTGTTGATGCTATCAAGCTGTCTTTTAAGAAATCCAAATTTCTAACTTTAATATAATTTGAGTAATTGAAAGTTATCATCAGAGTTGGAGCTTCTATTTATCGTAGATCCCGCGGGGGAGTTTTCGGATGAACATTCAAATTGAATAACACTCTCTGTCATTCTGTTGTATATGCGATCGGAAAAAAATTTTATTTGCTCATTTTTGTTAGAGCTTCAAGATTAAGGAATCCAATTTCATTTGTAATTAATATAACTGTTTTAATTTCATTACTAGTATTTTTGTCTAACTTCTCGTTGGCGACAGAATTATCATTCTATAATATAATTTAGCCACGCTCACTAACAGTTTTCTCAATTTCTGTTTTGCATACAACTTTAATCAATAAATCAATTTCTAATATCTTAAAACTTCTAGGTCGTATTGACTATTTGCCGATTGATCTTTCTTTAAATCACTTCCTATGAGCTTACTAATACTTACAGTATCAAGTACCATCAAATTCTTATGTTGTTACTCGCTGCAATTAAAAGAAAAACTGAAGACATTTTTATAATTCAGTACAGCTGCATAGCCAACCTAATATCTATGAACCACTTAAAAAAAAACCCGAAATCCGATGAATTGACTTCAACGAATAATGAATCGAATTTCTTCGCAGAACATGTTGTGATTTTCGTTGATAAAATTTAGCTAAGGATACTTTTGATGATATGAGGAAGAAAAAGCCTTGCTTGAATTGCCTCTTAAATAATAGTTCTACTTCTATATTGAGCATTTTAAACCAATTCATTCATGATATTTGCATTGTTGTAGTATTAGTATTCTTTGGATTATGTGTTTGTCCAAATAAAATTGCATTATAGTTTTGTATCATTTTCCAAACTTTATACGCAAATTTATTTCGATGAGCACATAGTCTAAAGAACACTACACTAATTCTACAACAATGCAAATATCATGAATGAATTGATTTGAAAATGCTCAATATAGAAGCATAGGCAATTCAAGCCAAGCTTTATTGTACTCAAATCAACAAAGATACCGTTAGTTCATATTTTCAACGAAAATCACAACCTACTGCTTCTGTGATGAAATTCGATTCATATTATTTTTTGAAGTCAATTTATCGGATTCCGGGTTTTTTTAAAAAAAGGTTTTATAGATATTAGATTGACTTGAATACGAAATGTTCGTACATTTTTGTCCTTTGACCTATTCAATCCAATTCTAGACGGAAAGATGAGAGATACGCTAATCAACTTAGTATTTATCTTTTGTTGTCTTCAAGCGACATCGATATTTGCTGAATATCACGTTGAATTACATCCTGTTTATAGCCAATCAAATCCTGTTCATGGCCAATCAAACGTACGTTAATTAATTATTCCAAATTTAAGCGTTCTATCATTTTCTGTCAACAAGGATAAAAATTAATTCAGCTAAATTTGATTGTTCATAAGTTTGATAATACCTTTTAGCAACATATCGGATATACTGTAAAGGTGTTGATCGGTGAACCGAAAAAAGAGTTCTCTCTACTTTTGGATACTGTTACCAGTTTTCTTTGGATTTTCAGTCCTGTGTCTATGTATGTTTAGCTTTTCTGCTATTCTTATCATCCATACATCTTGAAATAAGCTATGACTTGCAGAAAATATTCCAAAATTTTTTATTAAAACGAGTAAGGCGAAATCTTTAAATATCGATTGTGAAAATTTTCTACAATTTTATGTTAAAATTTCGTCAGGTTATCTTTCTCAAACGGCACAAAAAGACTTTTGATGAAAAAGCCTGCTTACACATATTCGGTATTGCAAATGCTTAATGAAGCTAATCAAATTCACCTAGATCAAATTTACGGTTCCAGATCACTTTCACTGATCATATTTACGGATAATATCTCGGTATTCTTTCCTGATTGTTTTTTGCTAATTTATGGATAACAGAAAGCAAAACTGTTATTACTCAATTAATTTCACTTCATTAAAGGCCAAAGATTGCAAGGAAAGTGTCCTATCTAATTCACCTGTTAATAACAACGACACCTTCCAGCAATTCCATACAAAAATATATTATTTTCACAATATCAACTTAGATTTTGAGAAATTATTTTTTCAGTTTAATTTATTAGATGGAGCATACGTAGATTTTACAAGTTTTCCATTCTGTACAACAACCACATTGCAATGGCCCGAATTTGATTATCAAAAAATCGATGGTGTGCTCGGTTTATCAACATTGCATGTTTTTGGCTCTCCATTTGGAGTTTCTAGCCAGTCTTTCTCTGGCCAATCGGCTTTAGACAATCCAATAAGGAGAGCTATTCGGAATTATCAACTGCACCCAGTTATTACCATTACATTGCCACCATTGGTAAGGGAACTGTTTCGATCATATTTATGCAATTTGATTGGAAAACGAATAATTAATACCTGAAAGATAACTATTTACCTGAAGAAAAATTTTTGTCATTTTCCGTCTTACATTGGCTAAATTTCTCGCGAATTTGCAATTAGCGCGTGATATTATTTTTTCCAACTTCTAGAACTTTCCTAAATGTCACCGTAAGTTACGATTGAACACAATAACAGTGAAAATATAGGATTCTAAGAAGAAAGCGATGTTAACGCTTGGTGGACGTAATAACCAATCATGCGATTTGAATTATGAAACCACTGAACCGCTTCGTTTGAAGTATGAAACCACTGAATTGCTTCGTTTGATTAACAAAAACATTGAACAGCAAACTCATGTGCCTCGTCCTCCTTCTTATCGAGTAGCGTTTAATCAATCCGGAAATCGTTACGAATTCAAATATAACTCCATCAAAATGGGCGATGTGATGTCTTCTATAGTATCATTTGCATACCCGAACACTATAGAGCCATATATTGGTGTTCCTGACGTATTCCTTCGTAAAATCGTTGAGAATCTCAATGCAACGGTCAGTAGTATTAATACATAATTTTACTGATTCCGATTTCGGTTTATTTCATCAAATGTCACATTTTGTTGTTTCTTTAAAATCAAAATATTTCAGTTTGATTCATCAGAGAATAAATATAAGGTACAATGTAAGGGATCTGTCCCTTATGATACATACCAACCATTCGAGATATCCACCGATGGTAATACTTACGTCGTTCCGCCACAACATTTCATAATCAAACATAATGTATGTTCCTATTTTTTTCTAATCTAATTGTCAAAAAACTCTTCTCTCATCAATGTTATCTGGAAAGAATATTGCAAAATTAATATTCCAGCCGAACGATACGCTATGCGATCTTGCGCTCAGAAAAAGTGAAAAAACTATTTACACTTTGTATGTGTCTGGGATACCAGTCGATTTATATAAAGATAATGATCCAAACATAGTTGTGCTTGGAATACCATTCTTCCATCAATATTGTCTTACGTTGAAACCACGTGATTATAATATTAATTTCGCACCGATAATTTAATTCAAATTGTACTCACTAAATTTGTTTTCAACAGAAATCGATGAAATTTAGCTGTTATTGTTAATTGATTAAATTGATGGAATAAATAATTTCGAATTATATTATCATTGATGCAATTTCTATACATTTTTTAGAGGCACATCTTCAATGAGTTGTCGAAGAATATGAAATTATTCATAATGTAGAAAATGCATGCATAAATACATTGAAATGATCAAAGCCTGTTGCAAATTCAATAACGCTAGAATATTCCAACCGAATTTGTGCAGTGATTTTAGAGAAAGTATTATCTTTCTTAGCAAGTATATTTCGTCTCCAAAAATTGAAATACACAAATATTTTCGACTTCATTCTTAACTAATATTTCAGATATAACTGCGACATGCATCACTAATCATAAGCTGGTAGAATAAATCTTAAGCTGGTCAAACGTACTGATAATGTGTAACGAAATGAAAAAATCTTTGGAAAAAATACCTTTCAAACTTTCTCTTTTCACAAAATATAAAAATAAAATAATTTCAGTTTCATTTTGATTTATTTTGTTTCATACAAATATTTTTCATTCCAAAATATTACTGTCTGTCACTAATTTATTTCACTTCTCATTTCAAAGATTTTGAATAAGCGATTCTTTTCTTTTGCATTTTACGTTAATTTTTCATATTCAATTGAAATGAAAATAAAAGACAAATCGTTATCAGTACGTTTGATAAATGTTAAGTTATGCTAAGTGATTACTATTACTATTAATTAAATTAAAATAATAGTAGGAAAAGAAAATTATTGTAAATTTATATGTTTCACATCCTTGCAGCCTTATATTTCGCTATAACTTACGTACATTTGATTATATGTAAATTAAATAATAGAAATAGTCCAATCACTATTTTTAATTTTAAAAAGTAAAATGTGACAGGTAGATTTAGCTAATTAATCGTTTAGCAATCACATCTTATATTATTGAATTCGATTTAATTGATCGATATTTTCTATTGACAATTTGCAATTAGCAAGCAGAACATTGAATACAATCATTTTTTATCAGTTAAACAAATTGATTAATATCTCATATCAGTTAGCAACAATTGATTAGATTTTCAATCTCTTAAATACATTCAATTTTCATAGGTTATGAAAATATTAGGTAAAGATTATTATTATCTTTGATAAAGTTTATTATTGATTTCATATATAAATCAAGCAATTTCATAAAAGCAAAATAATTAATTTTAATTTAATTAACAGACTTTAATGTTAGCTCATTCTGTTAGCGATACAATTAAATATTATTTTGTTTAATTAAAATCAAATTATTATTAAGAAGCGAAAAACAAAAAAATTTTGAGAACTCTCTGAAATACTTTCATATCAGTGAAACAAAAAATTCGACATTTGCAGAAATAAAGATGAAAAATTAATTCTAAAATGTCATTTTCAATTTGAATAAAATTTTCGATCAATTTTGCAACGATAAATAGTTGTAAATAAAATTTTGCAACGCTTTGATTAAATCTTTGATTAAATAAAGCAAAGATTAAATCATTTTAGAATTTTTAATTTTTGATAGCATACTTCGACAAGCATTAAATATCATTCATTAAATGTAATCTCTTTCTTTGGATAACGATATCCTACAAATGATACTACGCTTAACCTATGACTAGTAGTGCTGATAGAGTGATGATAACGCTTATCCGTTATAAATTAAAACATTGAAAACTCATATTATTTAACTTACAATAATTATCTTTCAGGAAAACTATGGTTTTTCCCGTTGAAGAGAAAAGAAGGCGAAGTCAGTTTTGTTTAATTGAAATAAGTATTCCGCATTCCGTAATTGAAATAAGTAATTCTGGATAGCATTCCGTATTGCGTAAAAATTGCATATGTTAATCTTACAAATTACTTGTATTTTAATGAATTAAAATCGATATCAAATTGTTGATGTAATAATGATATCTTTCATTTGAATTATTAATTATGGTAAACATATCATGATTATCTGAAAAAATATTAACTTCAATGATTTCAATTCAATATCAATCCAACTTTTACCATTTCAAAAATTTTGATTATTCAATATTATAATATAAAATCATTGCCATACTAAAATCTACCTAAAATAATCACCTGCGAAATTGCAATGCAATTTTAATTCGGCAAACATATAATCCAACGAATACTAATTCTACAACAATGCAAATACTATGGATGAATTGGACTTAAAATGTTCAATATAGAAGCATAGGCAATTCAAACTAAGCGTTATTGTCCTCAAATCGACAAAGGTACTGTTACTTCATTTTCATCAACGAAAATCACAACTTGCTGTTGTGATGAAATTCGATTCATATTACTCGCTGAAGTCAATTCATCGGATTTCTTTTAAATAAATTTCAACGACATAAGACTGACTATGCTATTGCACTGAAATATAAAAATGTCTTCTGTTTTCCTTTCAATTAAAGGGAGTAACAACGCAAGAAATTGATACTTGTACTTGATACTGTAATGCTTAAAGTTATGTGATATACAAAATCGAAACTGAGAAAAAATTTTAACTGTCAGTAAGCGCGGCTAAATTATACTGTAAAATGACATTTATCATAAATAATTCAATCGTTAATGATAATTTTATCGTAAGTGTTAAATTAAATTGTAAAATGATAATTCTATTCTAAATGAGAAGTTAGACAAAATGTTAGTAATGAAATTAAGACAGTTAGATTAGTTTTAAATGAAATTTGATTCCTCAATTTTAAAGCTTTAACGATAATAAGCTAATAAAATCAGTTTCCGATCTCATAAGCAACAAAATGATGCAGAGGTGTCTTTCAATTTAAATGTTCTTCCGAAAACCCCCGTGAGATCTACGATTAACAAAAGCTCCTACTCTGATGATAACTTTTAATTCTTGAATAATATTTAAGTTAGAAATTTGGATTCTTCAAAAGACAGCTTCATAGCAACCAAAAATAATCATTATATGGATTCTTTAAAAGACACTTAGTTCGATAAGAGATATTAGATGTCAGGTAATATATCTATAGAGATGCCAGCACATATATGTTAAGCACGAAATGTTCGCACATTTTTGTCCTTTGACTTATTTAATCCAATTCTAGATAGAAAAATGAGAGATGCACTAATCAATTGGGCAATTATCTTTTGTTGTCTTCAAGCGACATCGATATTTGCTGAGCATCAAATTGAATTACATCCCGTTTATAGCAAATCAAACGTATGTTAATTATTTCTATCATTTTTCTCTCAACGAGGATTAAAATTAATTGAGATAAATTTCATTGTTCATAATTTCGATAATAATCTTTTTAGCAACATACCGGATATGCTGCAAAGGTGATGATCGGTGAACCGAAAAAGGAATTCTCTCTTCTTCTGGATACTGTTACCAGTTTTCTTTGGGTTTTCCCTCCAACATTTGCGTACGTTTGGCTTTACCAAAATTTTTTCTTTCATATATTCCTTATATCCAGAAATGAGTTATGACTTGGAGAAAACATTCCAAAATTTATCATAAAAACAGAACAAGAAATTTTCGAATTCCGAATATGAAGTTTATCAATAAATTCATCTGTTAAAATTTCCTCAGATCGTTTTTCTCAAATGGCTCATGGGAAACGGCGACGAGAATGCCGGGTTACTCATCTTCACAATCGCAAACAGTGAATAGAACTAATTATATTCATCTAGATCAAATTTACGATTCCAGAAAAGTTACAATGACTCAGTTTACGGATAACATTTCGGTACTCTTTCTCGATTGCCTTTTGCTAATTTATGGATAACAGATATCAAAAATTGGTATTACTTAATTAATTTCATTTGAAACTAATAGTTTTCTCCTCGATCAAAATTACGATTCCAGAAAAGTTACAATGATCCAATTTACGGATGACATTTCGGTATTCCTTCCCAATTGTTTTTTGCTAGTTTATGGATAACAGATATCAGAACTGATATTACTCAATTAATTTCATTTCAGTTAACGTCAAGAAATGTAGCAGAAGTATTTTGCTAATTCACATAACGAAAATGATATATTTTTGGGTGGGACTATTTGGAAATAGTATACTTATTTGGAAATAGTCCCAGCCAAAAATATATCATTTTCGCAATTTCAACTAAAAATTTGCGAATGTTTTTTGCAGTTTAATACATTAAATGGAACACACGTCGATTTCCTAAGTTCTCCATTCTGTGTAACAAGAACCGTGCAATGGCGTAAATTTGACGATTATCAAAAAATCGATGGTATGCTCGGTTTATCAACGTTGCATGTTTTCGGCGCTCCATTTGGAATTCCTAGCTACTCTTTCTCCTGCCAATCGATTGCGGATAATCCGATAAGGAGGGCTATTCGGAATTATGAACTGCAACCGGTTATTACCATTGCATTGCCACCATTGGTAAGGGAACTGTTTCGATCATATTTATGCAATTTGAAAGAAATAATTAATACCTGAAAGATTGCTACTTACCCTGAAGAAAAATTTTTATTATTTTCCGTCTTATTATTGGCTAAATTTCTCACGAATTTGCAATTAGCGCATAACATCATTTTTCCAACTTCTTTTGAACTTTTCTTAATGCCACTGTCACTTATGATTGAACAGAATAACATTGAAAATATAGGATTCTAAGAAGAAAGCGATGTTGACGTTTGGTGGACGTAATAACCAATCATGCGATTTGAATTATGAAACCACTGAACCGCTTCGTTTGAAGTATGAAACCACTGAATTGCTTCGTTTGATTAATGAAAACATTGAACTTCATTCTCGTGTGCCTCTTCCTCCTTTACATCATATACTGTCAAATCGATCCGGAAATCATTACGAATTCGAATATAACTCCATCAAAATGGGCGATGTGATGTCTTCTATAGTATCATTTGCATATCCGAACACTATAGAGCCATATATTGGTGTTCCTGACGTATTCCTTCGTAAAATCGTTGAGAATCTCAATGCAACGGTCAGTAGTATTAATACATAATTTTACTGATTCCGATTTCGGTTTATTTCATCAAATGTCACATTTTGTTGTTTCTTTAAAATCAAAATATTTCAGTTTGATTCATCAGAGAACAAATATAAGGTACAATGTAAAGGATCCGTCGCTTATGATACATATCAACCTTTCGAGATATCCACCGATAGTAATACTTACGTCGTTCCGCCACAACATTTCATAATCAAACATAATGTATGTTCCTATTCTTCTCTAATCTAATAAAATATCCTAATAGGAAATGAGAAAAACAGAAGCGCTGGGCTCCATTTCATTTACATTATCCTTAAAAGTATTTCTATAATAATTCGTAGCCACATGTTAATCGAAATTTATTACAAGACCAGTAGTTATCGTTGTTGTCTATTCTTTAATTTAACTTCTAAATGATAAAAAACGCTCCTCTCTCATCGATATTATCCAGAAGGAATGTCGTAAAAATTAATATTGTAGCCGGACGATATATTATGCGAACTTGCGTTCAGAAGGAATGAAAGAATTATTTACGCTTTATATGCTTCTAATAATCTAGTCGAACAATATAAAGGTAATGATCGATATGCAGTTATGCTTGGAATACCATTCTTCCACCAATACTGCGTTACGTTGAAACCACGTGATTATAATATTAATTTCGCACCGATAATTTAGTTCAAATTGTACTCACTAAATTTGTTTTCAACGGGCACCGATGAAGTTTAATTGTTACTGTTAATTGATTAAATTAATGAAATAAATAATTTTAAAGTATATCACCATCGATGCAATTTTTGTGCATTTTTTAAAGGCACATCTTCAATAAGAGAAATAAGTTTCATTGAAGAAAATTTATTCATAAATATATTGAAATGATCAAAGCTCGACATATTTTAATAATTTTTTAATTCAGTTAAAATAGTTGGAGGATATTTTAATTGAACCGATTGGAAAAACTGATTTGTTTATTAATCTCGAAATTATGATACTATTGATTATTCAATTAAACGTAAAGCTATCCACTAGAATTTAATAGAAATTAAGTTCATATAAAACGATTGAATCGAAATGTTATAAAGTTTCTTCATTTCAGCTTTTTTCAATATCTCTAATCGTCAAAAAGTATGTATTCAAAAATCTCATCTTTGACTTAATGAAATTGAATAGGATTTTTGAATTAATCTTGCAAGCTCAATTTGTTGTAAACAAAAATTTGCAACAAGAATGCCTCGAAGATATTTTTATTTCAAAAAAGTGGGTCAAACACTATCGTTAACAAGGGCTGTCAATGTACTTAATGATTATATGATAATGTTAAAATTGATAGAAAAAGAACAGTCTCATGTTGAATTAAAATTAAACATAATGATAACTATAAATGAATTCAGTAAAATGAATGATCGATTTGATTTTCAAATAAATTGCCATCAAAAATACATTATAAAATTGAAAAGATATGATTGATCACATAGAGCAAAATACCCATACGTATTTTCGTATTAATAATAATAATTGCTATATTACTATTATTCTGTTATATATTACTATTAATAATTATTATGCAAAATATAGCCATTTCGATTCATGTTAATTAAAATAAATTGTTATCAAAAATTAGAAGTTCTATAGTGTCATTTTCATCAACAATGAATTGTTTTCGAATTATACAACACTTTATTTTCTTCTATTTGGTTTCTCTGATTTCTATGGAATACTATCCGATAAGATTACTTCAATTAAACAAAACTGACTTCGCCTACGTTCTATTTTTCTGTGAAAAGAAAAGTTTCAAAGGCATTTTTATATGTGAAATGTTAGTTAGCAATGAAGTCGAATTATATTTGTGTATTTCAATTTTTGAAGCCGAAATATATTAACGAGGAAAGATAATACTTTCTCTGAAATTACTGCACAAATTCGGTAAGAATATTCTGGCATTGTTGCATTTGCGACAGACTTTGTTCATTTCAATGTATTTATGCATGCATTTTCTTCAATAAGATTAATTTCATGTCTTTCGATTACTCATTTGAAAATTTGCCTTTAAAAAACATATCGATGCAAAAGTAATTCAAAGTTATTTATTCCATCAATTTAATCATAACAGTAACAGCTAAATTTCATTAGCTAAAGGTTTCCGTTGAAAACAAACTTAGTGAGTACAATTTGAATTAAATTATCGGTGAGAAATTAATATTATAATCACGTGGTTTCAACGTAAGACAATATTGATGGAAGAATGGTATTCCAAGCATAACTACGTTTGGATCATTATCTTCATATAATTCGACTGGTTTTCCGGACACATATAAAGTGTAAATAGTTCTTTCACTCTTTCTGAACGCAAGCTCGCATAGGGTATCGTTCGGCTGGAATATTAATTTTTCAATATTCTTTCCGGATAGCATTGATGAGAGAGGAGTTTTATGACCATTTAGAGATACCAAATTAAAGAATACACAACAACAACTGATGGTACTGTAATAAAATTCGATTATCATATGGCCATGAAATAGAATAGAATATATTTGAGGATAATGCAAATATGAAATGGAGCCCAGCGCTTTTGTCTTTCTCATCTCCTATTGGGATATTTCATTAGATTAGAGAAGAATAGGAACATACATTATGTTTGATTATGAAATGTTGTGGCGGAACGACGTAAGTATTACCATCGGTGGATATCTCGAAAGGTTGATATGTATCATAAGAGACGGATCCCTTACATTGTACCTTATATTTGTTCTCTGATGAATCAAACTGAAATATTTTGATTTTAAAGAAACAACAAAATGTGACATTTGATGAAATAAACCGAAATAGACCGAAAAAAAAATTAAAGAAACAAGAATCAGTAAAATTATGTATTAATACTACTGACCGTTGCATTGAGATTCCCAACGATTTTACGAAGGAATTCGTCAGGAACACCGATATATGGCCCAATAGTATTCGGATATGCAAATGATACGACGGAAGACATTACATCGCCCATTTTGATGAAGTTATATTTGAATTCGTAACGATTTCCCGATTGATTAGACGCTATTTGATAAAGAGGAGGAAGAGGCACATGAATCTGCCTCACAATGTTTTCATTAATCAAACGAAGCAATTCAGTGGTTTCACGCTTCAAACGAAGCGGTTCTGTGGTTTCATAATTCAAATCGCATGATTGGTTATTACGTCCACCAAGCGTTAACATCGCTTTCTTCTTAGAATCCTATATTTTCACTGTTATTGTGTTCAATCGTAACTTACGGTGACATTTAGGAAAGTTCTAGAAGTTGGAAAAAATAATATCACGCGCTAATTGCAAATTCGCGAGAAATTTAGCCAATGTAAGACGGAAAATGACAAAAATTTTTCTTCAGGTAAATAGTTATCTTTCAGGTATTAATTATTCGTTTTCCAATCAATTTGCATAAATATGATCGAAACAGTTCCCTCACCAATGGTGGCAATGCAATGGTAATAGCTGGATGCAGTAGATAATTCCGAATAGCTCTCCTTATTGGATTGTCTAAAACCGATTGGCCGGAGAAAGACTGGCTAGAAGCTTCAAATGGAGAGCCAAAAACATGCAACGTTGATAAACCGAGTACACCATCGATTTTTTGATAATCAAATTCGGGCCATTGCAATGCACTTATTGCACAAAATTGATAACTTGTGAAATCTGCGCGTGTTCCATCTAATAAATTAAACTGAAAAAATAATTTCTCAAAATCTTAGTTGATATTACGAAAATAATATATTCTTGTATAGAATTATTGGAAAGTATCGTTATTATTAAGAGGTGAATTAGGCAGGACACTATCGTTACAATCTTTGACCTTTAATGAAGTGAAATTAATTGAGTAATAACAGTTTTGTTATGTTATCCATAAATTAGTAAAAAACAATCAGAGAAAGAGTACCGAAATATTATCCGTAAATATGCTAAGTGCAAGTCTTCTGGAACCGTAAACGTGATCTAAGTGAATTCGATTAGCTTCATTAAAGGTTTGCGATGCGGAATATGAGTAAGCAGGCTTTTTTATCAAAAGAGTTCCCGAGCCGTTCGAGAAAGATAACCTGACGAAAATTTAACGTATAATAGTTGAAAATTTTCGCATTCGAATTTTAATGATCTCGCCTTACTCTGTTTTAATAATAAATTTTGGAATATTTTCTGCAAGTCATAACTTATTTCAAGACATTTGGATGATGAAAAAAGCAGAAAAGCTAAACATACATAGACACAGGGCGGAAAACCCAAAGAAAACTGGTAACAGTATCCAAAAGTAGAGAGAACTCTTTTTTCGGTTCACCGATCAACACCTTTATAGTATATCCGGTATGTTTCTAAAAGGTATTATCAAACATGTGAACAATGAAATTTACCTCAATTAATTTAATTCTTATCGACAGGAAAATGATACAAAGATTTAACTAACGTACGTTTGATTTGCTATAAACGGGATGTAATTCAACTTGGTCCTCCGCAAGTATTGATGCCGCTTGAAGGTAACAAAAGATAATTGCCAGATTGATTAGCGTATCTCTCATCTTTTCGTCTCGTACTGGAGTGAAAAGATCTAATGACAAAAATGTACAAACATTTCGTATTTAACACAATATATGTATGGTAGCATCTCTATAGACATTGCTTGACGTGTAATTGATTCTTATCAAACTGCCGTTTAAGGAATCCATATAATGATAATTGCTGATTGCTATCAAACTGTCTTTCAAAGAATCCAAATTTCTAACTTAACTATGATTCAAGTAATTGAAGGTTATCATCAGAGTAGGAGCTTCTGTTAATCGTAGATCTCATGGAGGAGTTTTTGGAAGAACATTCAAATTGAAAGACACCTCTGTATCATTTTGTTGCTTATGAGATCGGAAACTGATTTTATTAGCTTATTATCGTTAAAGCTTTAAAATTGAGGAATCAAATTTCATTTAAAACTAATCTAACTGTCTTAATTTCATTACTAACATTTTGTCTAACTTCTCATTTAGAATAGAATTATCATTTTACAATTTAATTTAGCACTTACGATAAAATTATCATTAACGATTGAATTATTTATGATAATTGTCATTTTACAGTATAATTTAGCCGCGCTTACTGACAGTTAAAAATTTTTCTCAGCTTCTATTTTGTATATCACATAACTTTAATCAATAAATCAATTTCTAATTCCTGAAAATTTCTCGACCATATTGGTTGTTGGCTGATTGATCATTTCTTCCAATTACTTCCTATGAACTTATTAATACTTACAGTATCAAGCATCATCAACTTCTTGTGTTGTTACTTCCTGTAGTTGAAAGGAAAACTGAAGACATTTGTATAATTCAGCACAATAATACAATCATTCTAATATTTATAAAACCTTTTTAAAAAAACCCGGAATCCGATAAATTGACTTCAAAAAATAATATGAATCGAATTTCATCACAGAAGCAGTAGGTTGTGATTTTCGTTGAAAATATGAACTAACGGTATCTTTGTTGATTTGAGTACAATAAAGCTTGGCTTGAATTGCCTATGCTTCTATATTGAGCATTTTCAAATCAATTCATTCATGATATTTGCATTGTTGTAGAATTAGTGTAGTGTTCTTTAGACTATGTGCTCATCGAAATAAATTTGCGTATAAAGTTTGGAAAATGATTATTACAGGTAGATTTTAACACGACAATGATTCATACTGTAAAATCGTTTGTTTAACATGCAATAGCAATAAAAATGAATTGTTGCATTGATTGAATTGATAAATATCTCTAAAATTTGTGAGGGAATTTTCCGAAAAGAAAGAGAAATTTAATTTAGATAACAGTAGTTAATTATTGGGTGATAAATGCATTTATTAATATAGTATTGATTAATTAGATTTTCCAAACAATAAAAGTTAAATTAATAATTAATTGAAATCGTTGAAATCAATACTTTTTGGCTCTATCAAATTTTGAATGTATTTTACTATTTTAATGTCCATTGTTTTACCTGATTTTTATGATAAATAAAATTTTTTTTCATTGATCTTCCAACTACCAAACAAAATTTCAAAAATGTGTCAAATATTTCTATTTAATGTGACAATTGTGATATTTACTTTATATTTCCATAAAACACACTTATGTAAACACACCTATGTAAACAATATCATTTTTGGCTTGCCGCTATCATTTAAGAAACAATTTAAGCCAAACGTTGTTATCCTCTAATCAACAACGGTATTGTTAGCTCAATTCTGATTGTTTTAATTAAATGAAAATAATCTTTGGAAGCTTCAGGTATATCATTGGAATGCTTCGCGTCATTATGGTTAGCTAGATGTGAGAGAGAGAGAGAGAGAGATTGCAAGTTCAGGAAAGATCATCAATGGGAGAGTGATCTGTAAATTAATCTCTTGCAAAATATCCGCGAAATGCCGGAATCATATTATCATAAATTACATTCAACAATAAATGCATTACATTGAAAAATTCCTTTCCTCAATACCACTCATTCTTTAGCCAAAAACAAAAGAGAAGCATTTTCACTTTTTTATGTTTTGTTGACGGCGCTAATTAAACAAATTATAATTCGATAAATTTGTCAATTTTTTGTTCGTTGTCAAAATTAACGCTTTTTGAACTTATATAAACAATTGCTAATTAAAAGTACCACACATTAAAAGGTAATTAAAATTCGTTCATTCCCTTTAAATCCATAAAAATCACAAATTCGTTCTTTTTTTTTAAGAAAACGGAAAATAAAAAACGGCAAATTAAAACGGCAAATATTTTAGATGTCAACTTCTTCCCTTTTTCAAATGAAATCATTTTTTTCCGTTTCCTCATTCTTGAATTGATCATTGAATATATAATAATATTCTGTTTATTTATTTATGTTTATTTATTTATGTATTTATAATTCATATTATTTATATTTATATTATATATATAAATTTAAATTCATATTTTTATTACATTTATATAAATTTATATTTATATTATTTATGTTTATAAATTATTTTTAATGTTTTTATGTATTTATAATATATTTATTTATTTATCTGTTTACTAATTCTATTATTGCTTTGTTTACTTATACCTTTTATATATTATAATTCATGTGTAACTCTCTTCATTGATACAATTGTTTATTTATTATTGTTTTTTTAATTAATCGTCAATGAACAAAGTAACTAAACAAATTACCACTTTTATAAAAAACAAAAGAATTGGAGAGCATTCACCACCAATTAATCAATTACTCTTAGTTAAATTGGATTTTTCCTTCTTTTTGGAGAAAGCTCTGACAAATTTCGGTGATATCCATCAATTCAATAAATACGACAAATACATTTTTATTGCTTTTGCATATTAAACGAATAAAATTGCAATATGAAGCATTGTCATATTAATCTACCTGTAATAATCACTTGCTAAAGATAATGCAATTTTATTCCGACAAACACATAATCCAAAGAACACTAATACTACAACAATGCAAATATCATGAATGAATTGGTCTAAAAATGCTCTATACAGAAGTAGAGCTATCATTTAACAGACAATTCAAGCAAAACTTTTTCATCCTGAAATCAAAGGTATCGATAATTCAATTTTATCAACGAAAACCACAACTCACAACATGTTGCTGTGAAGAAATTCGATTCATTATTCATTCAAGTCAACTTATCGGATTTTGGGTTTTTCTTAAATGGTTCATAGATATTAGATATTATAAAAATGTCTTCAGTTTTCCTTTCGACTACAGGAAGTAACAATACAAGAATTTGATGGTACTTGGTACTGTTAGTATCAGTAAGCTCATAGGAAGTAATTTAAAGAATGATCAATCAACAAATAGTCAATAAGGCCTAGAAGCTTTGAGATATTAGAAATTGATTTATTGATTTAAGCTATGTGATATACAAAATAGAAGCTGAAAAAAATTCTTAACTGTTAGTAAGCGCTGCTAAATTATATTACAACGATGATAATTCTATCGTAAATGAGAAGTTAGACAAAATATTAGTAATGAAATTAAGACAGTTAGACTGGCTTTAAATGAAATTTGATTCCTCAATTTTAAAGCTTTAATGATAATAAGCTAATAAAATCTGTTTCTGATCTCATACACAACAAAATGACACAGAGGTGTTATTCAATTTGAATGTTCTTCCAAAAACTCCCCCGTGGGATCTACGACAAACAGAAGCTGCTACTCTGATAATCACTTTCAATTACTTGAATTATATTTAAGTTAGAAATTTGCATTCCTCAAAAAACAGCTTGATAGCAATCAGCAATTTTCACTATATGGATTCTTTAAAAAGCAGTTTGAAAGGAATCAATAGTGATCACAACGTGACAGATGCTATATCCATAGAGATGCCAGCACATATAACATGTTAAACACGAAATGTTCGTGCATTTTTATCCTTTGACCTATTCGATCCAATTCTAGACAGGAAGATGAGAGATACGCTAATCAATTTGGCAATTATCTTTTATTGTCTTCAAGCGGCACCGATATTTGCTGAGCATCAAATTGAATTACATCCCGTTTATAGCAAATCAAACGTACGTTAATTATTTCTATCACTTTTCTCTCAACAAGGATTAAAATTAAATGAAGTGAATTTCATTATTTACAATTTCGATAATAATCTTTTTAGCAACATACCGGATATGCTGCAAAGGTGATGATCGGTGAACCGAAAAAGGAATTCTCTCTTCTTCTGGATACTGTTACCAGCTTTCTTTGGGTTTTTCCTCCAACATTTGCGTATGTTTGGCCTTACCAAATTTTTTTCTTTCATATATTCCTTATATCCAGAAATGAGTTATGACTTGGAGAAAACATTCCAAAATTTATCATAAAAACAGAGCAAGACGAAATTTTTAAATTTCGAACATGAAGTTTATCAATAAATTCATCTCTTAAAATTCCTTCAGATTACTATTCTCAAATGGCCTATGGGAAATGGCGACGAGAATGCCGGGTTACTCATCTTCACAATCGCAAACAGTGAATAGAACTAATTATATTCATCTAGATCAAATTTACGATTCCAGAAAAGTTACAATGACTCAGTTTACGGATAACATTTCGGTACTCTTTCCCGATTGCCTTTTGCTAATTTATGGATAACAGATATCAAAAATTGGTATTACTTAATTAATTTCATTTCAGTTCAACTCACTAAATGGAATACACGCCGATTTCCCAAGTTCTCCATTCTGTGAAGCAAGGATTTTGCAATGGCGTGAATTTGACGATTATCAAAAAATCGATGGTATGCTCGGTTTATCGACATTGCATGCTTTCGGCGCTCCATTCGGAATTCCTTGCTACTCTTTCTCCTGCCAATCGGTTGTGGATAATCCGACAAGGAGGGCTATCCGGAATTATGAATTGAAACCGGTTATTACCATTGCATTGCCGCCATTGGTAAGGAAAATGTTTCGATCACATTTATGCAATTTGATTGGAAAGCAAATAAATTAACAGCTGAGAGATTGCTACTTACTTGATGAAAAATTTCTGTTATTTTCCGCCT